CTGCATAACGGTATACAGGATTTCCCAGTTTTGTTGAAGTTTCGAACAAAGTCCTTTCTTACGTGTGGGATTGTTAACGATACTGGTCACTTTTTTTGAGAGTTGTGCCAGTAGTATATATGTCAAGCCTGACATTGGCCTTATCAATTTGAAGCTTCAAACTTTTACGAGCAAATTCGTAAACTTTCTCCAACATTTTTTTTAAGTTTTCAATGTACGCCAGGAATTAAAGTTTTTCTTTGCAAGGAGGCACTTTTATGAAAAAAAGATATTGATGAAGCTTCATTTCTCTTACGGTGATTATCATTGATGGAGAATAACTAGTTGATTCATGTTCGGAACTTCTATAAGCTAACAGGAATAGAGCCATTAAAGTATCCTAATCTTTTTGATTATCAGCGACAAACATTGAAAGCTATTGACAAACAGTTCTTTTATGTCTTTTGGCTATTTCATTTGATAGTGGATGGAGAGGCGTCATATAAGTTTTATTAATACACACGATTTTCATTAACTTTTGCCATAATTCCGATTCAAAATTTTCTCCTTGATCAAAACGTAACTCTAGAAAAACTCCATGTCCTAATACTACGTATGTTATAAATGCATCTGTGGCTGTAGTCGCTTCTTGATTAGGAAGGGGTACAATTTAAGGCCATTTTGAAAAATTTACTAAAATGTAAATTAAAGCTGAAAGGCCAGATACAGTTGTTAGAGCTTAAATATCTAAGCATCTGATTATCTAGCTACGAAAATCTCGAAACAAAAATAAGAGATCAAGTAAATAGAGCAAATAGAGTCGCAGATTGCTTTAATAAAACCATTCGGAGAAGTCAAAATATTCTGATAATATATAAAAGGCAGAATTAACAAAGCACCATTAGACCAATAATGACATACGCTGCATAAACATGATCTGATACAGAAAGGACAAAAATAACGTTATAAACAGCAGATATGAAGACACTCAAAATTGATGTAAAAAACAGTATGATACAGAGCTAGAAGCACAAATATACGACGTAAATGCAAGGTAAAGAACATCAAGGACTGGGAAAGAAATGAAAGAGTAGAATATAACGATCATATAAGCCGAGTGACAACAATAGAGGAGTAAAAATGACAAAAAACGGTTCTTCGGTAGAAAGTCGATCATTAGGAAGACCAGGTAAACGATGAAACAACAATTTACTGGCGGCACGTTAAAAACAGGGAGAGTCATGTCTACGTAAAAAGAAAAAGAAAAAGTTAAAGTTTTTGAACTAGGTTCATAATCACCTCCATATTTTTTAAGCTAATTTGTGATTTAGTCTTCTTCTGGTGATTTTCTGACTTATCTTAATATTTATCATCATCATAATCATCAATGGCGCTACAACTCTTCGTGAGTCTTTGCCGCGTTTACTATTGCCTTCTATGTTTGTCGTTCATGTGCCAGTAATTCCCATTGTCGCACTCCCATCTTCTCTAGATCCTCTCTGAGTGCATCTTTCCACCTTCTTCTAGGCCGCCCTACAGACCTTCTTCCATCTGGCCTTTTCCAGAACACAATGTTTATAAGGCGATTGTCGTTACTGCGAATCACATCGCATATCGTCGTTATTGCCCATCTGAGTCTATTGGCCTTTATATATCTGACTAGATTTTCTTTTCCGAATAGAGACTCTTGCTCGTTATTGTATCTGCCCCTCCATTCGTTTGTCACGCTGTCTCTACAAGGGCCATATATCATTCGAAAAATTTTACGTTTCCATACCAGCAATTTATTTACTTCTCTTTTTGTTATCGTCTATGTTTCGCTTCCATACGGAACTGTTGGTCGCGTATCTTATTATTTAGGTCAGTTATTATATTGGGCGTTTCTGTAGAGAGTTTCCGTATTCATTTTTAAACATTTTTGTAAGAAAGGTCATCCATGTATCCTGTTTTATGTGTGTTATTTCCACTAGTTCTTTCATTTTGTTTTTTTGTTATCTTATGTTATGAAGTGCTATTGTTATGGCTATCATTATGATAGATCGGGGCAGGACCCATTTTACAGTCCTTCAGACACTAGACCGTCTAAGGCGGGTCCACTGTATCACATATATTATAGGCCACTGGATCACAAGGAATAGGTCCATAAGGACCTATTCTGTCCCGGACTCCCATATCTGCAGTTATCAGCAGGAGCTCCAAGTCTAAGCCTTTCCTGCTATTCTGAACCTCTAATTCTTTAGTAGCCTTATAACCTGACAGAAAGCCACAATTTTTTAAGGATAACTCCTTCATTTGGCTTGGCTGCATAAAGATTGAACCTAGGATCTGCCATCTGTAGTAGGCCGGTGATGACCGCTTTCGAAGAACATGTGAGGAGGTTTCCTCCTTCTTATGACAAAGTTGACACCGTGGAATATCCGCCAATCCAAGCAGATAAAGGTGCAGCCTGGGTCTATAGTGGGCGGTAAGCATACTGACAACCAGAGAGCACCTTCTCTGGTCTAGAAGGAGAAGTTGAGCTGTAAGACTTTTGGATGGCCCCACTTTGTTGAGCTTAGCCTGTCTTATACCTCCACAACTAGCCCAGGAATCCTGGAACTTCAGTAGAAGATGATCTCTAAGACTACCCTAATCAGTACTGAAGGCCACTCCAATCCAGGTTCGGATCCAATCCACCAGTGCGTTATCTTGTTCGTTTACTTACCTGCTGTCGTACATAACTTAACGTTATTATTCCGAGCAATATAAGCAAGTGCTCTCTTACACTTAAGAACCAGCTGAGAGCTAACTTTGCGCGATTTCGAAGCCCTTAGCGCTTCTTGACTGTCAGAGTATATAGAGATGGTCCTGCCTAAGCAAGCCCTGCCTATTATCTTCTGAGCACATACCAGGATTGTAAAGATCCAGGATGGCCTGAAAGACTAATGCATGCCAGATTCAAATCCGATTCCGTTTTCGTATACTCCGGCACCTGCCCGCCCGTGCAATCTGATACTATCTGTGAACCAGGTAAGCACGATTCAAAGGATCAGTGCAGGCTTTCTTTCCATCCGTTTATCCCCCTCAGGAGCCATAAATAATTCAATTAAACCAAAAAGGAGGATGAAATCTAAAATTGGGGGGCCATGCTGTCCTGTACCATAAAGAGCACATGACAAAAATTAAGGGACTATCTCCAGATGTCACAATGGCCCATCCGACTATTCTCAACCAGTATCCAGAGCAATTAAGACGATATGCTGCCATCATGGATCGTGCTCTAGAATAAGATGTGGAGAAGGTAAATCCAGCAAAGCTGCAAGAGCCACTGTGGAAGGGGTCCCTATAGCTCCTGAGATGCCAATGCATGCCAACCGCTAAAGGAAAGTCAGCTGGGCCTTTGCTGAAGCCAATCGAGCCCGCGGCTAGCACACAATGGCTGCATACGTCACGATGGGCCTTATCATGGATTATACATCCAATATAGACTTTTTGGCTGCAAACCCTATTTGGCTCCATAAGCTGTTCTTGACGCTCACAAAGCTGCAGCTGCCTTCTTCATCTTGGTGTCAAGAAGTTCCTTTCATAAAAGTTTAAAATCAAGGATCACTCCGAAGTACTTCACTGACATGGAAACCGATACAGTTTTACCACAGAAGGTAAGCTTGCTTGTAGGTTCGATGACCCTTTTTCGAGTGCTCCCGGCACCATTCCTCAACCGCCTGAGGCTCACCTGGGTAACCTCGAGCACCCACTTCTCTGGAAGAGCCCCTCAGCCAGTATAACTTCGTCATCGGCGTAGGCTTGGCAATTGTACCTTATTCGGACAGTCGCTGAAGAAGGCTGTCAACCACCAGGCACCACAAAAAGGGGGTCAAAAATGTCGACACCAGCACGCAACAACAATCATTTCCGCAGCATCACACATGGGATAAAAATTAGCGCAACTAAAGACACTCTCAATATCCATAAAAATACCCAGGCTGTATTGCTTGCGATCTACCACCTGCTTTACTCTGTAGACAAGGTGATGCAGGGCTGTCTCATAAGACTTTCCACCCTGGTGGGCATATTGATGTGCATGTAAAGGGCTGTGCCAAAGTGCTCCATTGCATATGAACCGATATACGAATCTCTCTAGGGACTAGGAAAACTGATTGGTCGGAACGACTTACGAGAGTAAAATCGGGTTTAACCGGTTTAGGAATAAATACGACCCTAGTTCTCCCCCAGGTAAATGATAACCTCGCAAGACAAACTCTAAATATCCTGACCAGTGTGGAGACAAGGTTTAGACCTTGCTAAAGCAGATCTTCTTTTGCAGTAGTTTTTTATGCTAGTTGTCAATCGATGCGTTTTAGTTCTTCTACTCTCATATTTTTGATATGATTGATCGTTTTTTCCCAATTTATATTTTAGAAAAGCCTTTTTTTTATTATTAGAAAAAATAATATAAATCCTATGAAATCCTATTTTTGTTTTAGTTATGTTCTAACTACAATATTAAATTGGTCAACTGAAATTAATCACTATTTTGTGTTAATTTTCAGGTTTAAAATATCAAAAGAAAAACAAAAAAAAAAAACAAACTTAATAAAAAAGTTTATTAACCAAAGTGAAGTTATACTTAAAAAAGTAAGAAGTAAGAACTAATCTATTTTATTTAACCTATAAGTGTACATTTCTAAGGTGAAATATATAATATATTATATTATTAAAAACAATGGTTAAGAAATAAACTTATTTATGACAGTAAAGTTAAAATATAATTTCCAAAAGTGAACTCGTCAAAGTGTTTCCAGAAACAGTTCATTTTAATTACGCAAAGAAAAAGACTAAAGTGATAAACGTAAGTAATAAAACGAACGAGTAGGTGTAAGCTCATCATCAATAAAAACAAAAACCAAAAGAACATCCCAAAGTTTGTGTTGAGCGCAAGAACCGAAAGCATCGTGGCTGCTATATAACGCCGTTCAAGCGTCGAAGGATCCCACATTCCCGCGTCGCGAGCGTCCTTTTGAATAGTCCTACCACCTGTTAGGATGAGTTACTTGGCTGGCGTGCTCGTTGCCACTTTCTTGGTGGTAATGGGTCTTTTTGAGGTGAGACTAGTGTTTGGATTCCCAGGGAGTACCAAGGACGTAAAAATAATGGCCCCGATAGATGTTAAGCAAGGAGGGGTGAGTAATTTGCTTTAAATAAATAATAGTTACCAAATAAGCATATTAAACTACGTATAAAATTAGTATTGTTAAGAATTATTTCAAAGGCAGCTTTAAATGTCCAAAATATTTCTTCCTAAAACTTTACGGAAAGTTAATATAAATAATTAAAAGACTGTATAACAATACGAAAATACAATATAATGTATTGCTAAATTATCATTTTGGAAACATTAGACACTATTATGTGGACTACAATGAATTTTACTCCATTTTTATTTTTTTATATATGTGTTATTATAAATTAGTAAATAAATTAATTGTTTATAAACCATAGTACAAGTTGGTTGTAGAAAAATGGCCGTGAAAAGGAAAATATGATCTTAATTATATACTTACTAATATAAAGTGGCAAAAGCACACAACCCTATGGCTAAATAATTGTTTAAAAATCCAAACTAAAGACAATTAAATGTAGCGTAATCAAATATAACTCTTTAAATATTATCAGAAAAAAAAACTAATTTTGCGAAAATAGCGGTGATATTCTAAACATTTTTCTATTATTTAGAGGCTAGCGTATAAGGGTAAAAACTACCTTAGCAATTAAACTACTACTACTAATTTAACTACTTAAAGCAATTTTTTTGACAACATAGATTTTGATGAAAATTTACTATTAAGTTCATCGTATCCTCTACTTCGTACATCGTATCAAAAATTGTATATATGTAGTTTGCGCATCTTGCATTTTAGGGGCGAAAACTACCAATCATGACAAAAAATCTTTCTTTCTTTCTCCCCTTCCTTTTACCCTATCAGGGTGTCGGATTTGAGCTAGCTATTTGAATTTCCATTTACCCACCTTTTCCATTCTTTCTTTTCTGTGTCCTGCCATTATGTTCAATTCCTCGAGTGATTTTTGTTTAAGTTTTCCGGCTTCTACTACTTGCTGTATCCATTTTTTCTTGATCTGCCTTTTCCTTTTGTTAGTTTCCTCCGTGTACAATTCTCGCACACTTTCTATCTTTTGTTTGTTTACCTTTATTTTCTTGTACTCTTTTCTTTCCATTTCCTCCATTTTTTTATCCTTCAGTTTTGCAGTGACCATTATGTGTTGTGTAGAGAGTTCGGGTTTCTTTTCCGTTAAGATGTTTTTTATATTTTGTTCTAGGTTTCTCGTATAGATTATATAGTCGATTATATGCTTAGAATAGATAGAATATGATAGAATGCTTTTCGCATTTCTCTCTTCAGTTACAAATGTATATTTGTCCTTAATGGTTTCTTCACTGAATGTGTTTCCTATTATCAGATCATTGGTTTGGCAGAATTCCAGCATTTTAATTCCATTTCTATTTAATGTGTCTTCCCCATATTGTCCAATGCATCCTAATTCTCCTGTTAATGTCCTTACCTACTCTTGAATCCCAATCACCTTAAATTATTATTTTTTCTCTTGTCTCTCTTAATTTGTCTAATGTGTTTTGGAGTTCGTTGTAGAATTCTATCATTATCTCTTCTTCATTTCCTTCTGTTGGTTCATATATTTGTATTATTTCTATCTTGTCTTCTAGTTCTAATTAGGCTGTGATTATTCTAGATGATACTGCTTCGTAGTTTGTTATTCTTGATTCTATTACTATTTTACCGACTCCTTCTTTTGCTCTGTGACCCTGTGGTACTCCGGAATAATATAGACTATATTTCTCATTGATGTTGATGTGTCCTTTCCCTATCTTTTTGTCTCGCTTATTCCCATTATTTGAACTTTCATCGTCATACTGACAAAAAAATCAAAAAGTAAAATAGCTTGTTAGAGATAGCAATCTTATTTAAACGAACAGATACATTTTCCCTAATATTTCGTAATGTGTTGTATAATATTTTTTAACGTTTCAATACTTAAAAAAACAAGTTTAGACCAAATTTAACAATAAATTTGGTTCTTAACAATGTTAATTATTTTAATTCAAAGCAGGCACAAGTAAATTGCTACATCTTCTTCTTTTCTGCTATCAGCAAGTTTGCTTGTTCATCGGTTTGAACAATCTGTATGTTACATCTTTTTCTAATGTCTTTACTACCCTTTCGGTCTTTTAGTTTTCAGTAGTATCATTTCTGACGTCTCTTTGTATGTCGACTGTGGCTTTATTTCATCTCACTGTTAATATGGCGGTTTCTATCTCCAGGTCTTCATAGCTACACAATATTACCCAAAGTATTTTAATTTCATGACTTTTTGCTGATGCTTCAACTGAATTTTAAGTACAAGTAAACAGCATAGTTTGACAATGACAAGCGCGACTTTGACGAAACATCGTCAAAATAATGAGTTTTCTTAAAACCAAAATTATTCAACGCGGAGACAAACGCGCAAAACCATTGAAAGCACATATAGATAGTCTATAGCGGGATAAGATGGTAAAATCTACTCTCGGTTGGATTTTTATTTGGCGTTAGGCACTTTAAGTGTTGCCCCTGGGGTTCCCCTATCGAAAAAATGTATTTTTCATAAACAAAATATTCCTGAGCGATTAAAAAAAATCGGAAAAAAATAATAAACATATTTTTAAATGAGTTAAAAAGTTTGATTTTCAGATTCTTTAGATCAAAATTCAACTCAAAAAAGATGTTTTAATTTTTGAAAAAAATTTTAGGTTATGTAGGTAATTTTTGGCAAACTTTGAAATAATTTGTTTTGCTGTATTTTCTTCGGGTCTTGTAAGTATCAGGGTTTGATTTTTCATTTTCTCTGTGAAATTCTCGAAATTTTTTTTTTGGTTTTTGTTTCTCTCGCACCCTTTATTAAAGTGGTGATTAATATTTAAAAAATTTTATGCCCAAAAACACTAACAGTTTTCAGGTTTTTTGTGTATCAGAATTTAGTACAGGAAATATATTTAAATTAAAAAAAAATTAGGTTATATAGGTAATTTTTAATAACCTTCTAAATAATTATTTTTCGTGAATTTTCCCGTCCATTTAAATGGAAGGGTTAAAATTTTCATTTTCGTTACGGAAAATTTGGAAAAAAAACCCATTTTTTTATATTTTCTCACATGTTTTTATCACATAAACTCAACTTCATGTCGATAAATAACGATTTTTGTTTTTTTTTTTATTTTTTCGTTATTTCCAATAGCGGGATTACGTTTGGAAATCGAACCAAAACATGATTAAAATATGACAAACCCTATTGTTTCTGGTCTTTTAAACGACAGTTTCCTTGGTACAATGAGTACGATTACAGTCGAAAAAGTATAACTACTATCAGCAGAATGAAGTTTGGTCACGCATGTTATCCAGCACATTTTTTTTTAAATAAAAATAGTTGAGGGTGATTTTGCGAAGCCTGCAATAAAATCGGTGATCTTGACCACATCTTTTTTGATTGTTTAAAATATAGAGCTCAATCTAATGAGCTTTTCAGTAAACTTTTAAAATTAAACATTGAAAGCCCATTTAATATACTGCATCTTCTTGCTTTAGAAAAAAAAGAAATTTACGATTGTTTGCTGTCTTTCGTCAGAACAACGAATATACAAATATAACCACCTTGGTTAATTCCTTATGTCTTTCCTTAATGTATGCATACCTATCTGTCCGAGGCCTACCTTTTATCGTTTATAAAAATGCCCTGATTTGCCCCTGGGCAAGAAGAGTGTAATCCCTGTATCTGTTTTTGTGTCTGGCTGTGTGGGTATTTACCCTAAAGCCAAAAAAAAAAAAAATAAACGATAGTTTCAGATTTTTCATTTTCTCTGGAAAATCTTCGAAATTTTGTTGATTTTTGTTTCTCTTCTCTCTTTATTCGGGTAACGATTATCACTTTGATTTTTTTCAGCTTTTTTTGATCAAAATTGAGCTTAGGAAAATATTTTTATTTTTAAAGAACTTTTAGTTTACTAGGTAAATAATTTTTGGCAAACTTTTAAATAATTATTTTTTATTTTCTTTTGCTGTTCTACTAAGTGGCGAGATCAGTTCGCTCCGGAAAATCTTTAAAATTTGAAAAAATCCCATTTTTTGGGTATTTTCCCAAATGTGTTTTTACCACATATTTATCATATAAAAAAGCTTGCACGTCATTCAAGTTAATTACGTCGTCAGAACCCCACAGCCTTGCCAAAACAACAGAATAGTTAGTAAGTGAGGAATTTTTAAAATTTGAACTATTTGTCAACCTATTATATTAATAGTAAATACACTTATTTTTTAAGACTACTGCAATACATTAAAATACATACGAAAACATTTTAATATAAAATTCTATATGCTAAATTTTAAACTTATTTCTTTTAGGGCTTTAATAGTAAAAACGACCCGCCATATATTATATGATGATCACATTGTGTAAGAAATCAAAACATAAACAAAATGCTTACTCTAAAAAAGCGGCAACACTTTTTTCTGATTATCATATTTTTCTGATTATTACACAATATTGACGCCTATGAAAGATCAAGCAGTTCCGTATGGGTTTCGTATTATTAGCTGTGTTAGGAAAATTTGAACTCTAAGGTTGATATTCTGGAAATATTAGATACAACTGACGTCACTTTGTATAAATCGTGACGTGCAAGTGTTTTACTTTGAAAAATGGTACAGACATTGTGGATTTTTGTTATTTTTTTATTAGTTCTATTAGCGGGATTAGGTTTCACAAATTTCCGAACCAGAACATGCTTAAAATATGACAAACCCTCTTTTTGGATATTTGTCTCATGTTTTTTGCACATAAACTTAACTACACATGGCTATATAAGTTTTTCATAAGATATTTGTTCATCTTACTTGTGTGTTTCGATTTTTCAGTCGCAATTAAAATTTTTATTACTTTTTTTATATTTACAAATTAAGTTAAGATAACTAAAACTTACGTTTAAGTTAATAGTTTAATACGCTAAAGTATTTAAACAAAAGTGGTCCAGTAGGCGATACGATAGACTACCAGAAGCTTTATACTATATTTTCTTGTATTTTTAAATTTTTATTTTTTTGAGGTTTAATACAAA